AAAGCTTTTTCAATTGTTTTAATGGTTTCGTAAATTCCAAGGATTTGATTTTATTATTCTCCAGGGATAAGAAATTAAGGTTATTATTTTCAATAAACTCTTCTACATTTAATATTTCAATTTCATTGTAGTCCAAAATTAAAGATTCCAATGTAGAACAATGGTTTATTTCTGAATGTTTCATATAAATTTGTAATAATTAATGTTATTTACGTATAAAATATATAATGTTATTTTAACATTATAAAATATTACCACTTATATTTTGAAGAGAATTATTATTTAAAAATAGATGTTTAATCACTGGTAATTTTTGTTTAGTAATATTAATTACTGACTTAATACAATTATGATCTAAAAATAAAGTGTATAACTTTGGAAATGTACACTTATTCTTTGCATAATCACTTCCATTAAATGTTTCAAGACAATTGAAACTTAAGCATAATGTATGCAAATACTTAAAAGAATGGAGACCCCACATATAAGTTATTTGATTCTTACTTAGATCTAAACTTTCTAATTGTGGTAAAATTTCTGCTGAAATATCTACCTAATGAAAATTATATAAATTGTAAATATAAAATATAGCATTGCAAAAAAAATTATCATAAATAACATACCTTTGACAAGGAACAATTAACTAGACTCAACTGTGTAATATTTGTTAATCGATCTGTTTCATACATTATGTTTAATACATGTTCATCAAATTTATTGCCAAATGCATATCTTGCTTCAGAAATATCTGATTTTCTGACATATTCTCCAGAAATGTACTACTAGTAAAATTATATTAATTACATGCATTCATATATGTATTTAATCTTATTATTTTACTTACTTCAATATTACTTAAATGAAATATAATAAATTTTTTATGTAATGCATCTGTACAAATTGGATTATTATAAAGATCTATAACACGCAATGTTTGCCAAGTTTTAACATTATTTATTTGTCTTAAGTTTTCTATTTTATTATTACCACAATAAAATTCTTGTAATGTATGAAATGATCCCATTGATTCTAAGCTTGTTATTAAATTGTTAGTCAAGTCTAAATACTTTAATGCTGGAAAATTTTCTTGGGTGAAATCATCTAAGACTGAAATGAAATTACTTCCAAGATTCAGTTTGATTAGATATTTTAAAGGTTTTACAAAAGAAAATGTATGTAATAAACAACATGTAGCACAGAGTTCTTGTGCATTCTTTGCTTTTTTTAAAACACTTGATGCTGCAAAAAAATTTTGTGATACATGAATGTATTTTGCTTGTTCTATATTTTTTTTCTCCAGCAGTTTCATCTGCTCCATATTTTTTAGTGTACTGTGTTTTAAATAAATTAACTTATTACGCCATTTGTTATTTAATTTACACATGTTAAATGCACATGGAAAATAATTTTGGGGTAAATTAAGTGGTTCACATTTACTATCATTAATAAATTGTAACTTTGGTAAATACTTGTGTATTAAATATTCTACTAGTTGTGGTTGAGTAACATCTTCAAAAGGATTGTTACATATTTTTAACTTATATATATTAGGAGTAGATAGTGTAAAAGTAGTAATACTTTGAAAACAATATATTAAGGAGTTCCATGATATGTCTAGCTCTTTTAATGCAGGTAAGGTTTCTTCAATATGTAGTAATCTTATATAGTTGGAACTAACATCTAATATTTGAATATTCTTCATAAAATTAGAGTTTGGAAATTCATTTAACTGATTAAAAGAAATATCAAACTCTCTTAAGTTAGGTAGGTCCAAATCCTTATCAATAGAATTTATATTTTGTCCAGAGAGACATATTTTCGTAAGATTATTCACTTTTTCATCAATATCAATATGTTGTGTAATATTAGATTTGGATAAACATGTAGATGTAGTTTCATTTGTTGTATGTATAGCAGTAGAGATTGTATGTCCCCTTTCCTATAAATCAATTTGTAAGATTTTCATTGCAAACAAAGTTTAAATATCAAAAAATTAATTAAAGTTAAATTAAAATAATAAAAATTTTCTATTTGTCATTTTAAATACTTGGCAATTTTCATTCAAATTATTCCAGCAATGTGCATATTTCACATGTAAGCAATCATTAACATTGTCTACTCTGTATAAAAATATTATACTTTTTATATGAAAACTATTAAGATTGGCATTGTTACTATTACTTTTCAGTAGAGTCAAAAATAGGTGCTTGTAAAAGTACACAAACACGTCGTTTTTCGGAAAATTTGTAAGAACTTAATGTATGTTCACTATCTTTTATTGAGAGCATTGTGTTCAACCAATCAAAGTCTGCTGCAGCTAAACAATTAGTTACTATCAGTTCTTCCTATTAAGTAAAATATTTCTTGTTTTATAGTCTATTTCTTTGTGGTATAAAATTTTATTTCATAGAACAAGGAACATGCAAATACTTCAAGCAATAAGTCAGTATGAAAAATGTTAAAAGGCCACTTTTGAATATCTGTTACTCCAGGTGAAGTTAAAATTTTTAAAATCATACTGCATTCATCTGATTGCAAACCTTTAGCTTTGCAAACATTTAATTGATCAATTTCTTTATTGCATACTTTTGTTACTTTATATAATCTTAAATCTGTTATGCCAATGCCACTGCAAATGAAAAAAAATTATTATAAAAATTTTATATTTATGCAATTAATAACATATCTAACATACTCCTTTATAGTTGAACACAGAGATGTAAGTAAAAATTTTTTGCAAAATTGAATGACTGTATTTTCTGAAGTTGTATTGTATTCAGTAAACTTTATATTCCCACTGTTGTTCATATTAATTAAAAGCTGCTGTTGCAAAATCTGATACATAAATAACATTAGTATAAAATTAAAGTATATTACTTACTTTAAACCATTAAAAATCAAACAATTGAAACATTATCATACTTTAGATTGCACAATTGTTATTTCTTTCATTTCCTTAAGTTGTTTTTTACTTAATTTTATTTGTAATATTATATTTTCTAATTCATCATATGCTTTATAATTTAGATAACTTTGATTATTCTAGGTAATAAACATAACATAATTAATAGTGAAAAAAGTATTTATGACAATTAGGTACATTAAGAACTTATGTACCTTCTTCATTTTAATGGTATACAGCTGATTTTTAATATGATGCATTTCTTTTTGATATTCCTTATATCTGTCTTTCAGTAAGTTTAAAGCTATATTTACTTGTTTATGAAACAATACATTGTAGTATGTTACTTGCTTTCTAGAGATAGGAATGTCCTCCTTATATTACATTCAAAAATATTACATCATGATAAAAAATAATATAAATACTTGAAAAAATGCTTAATCCAAAGTCTTTCTTTTTCATGTATTTTATAATGATCTAGTTTTTTAATATGTGGAAGATAATGAATAACATGTATACGATAATTACAAAGAGCTACCAAAGGACAATCTCCATACAATGGATCTGCAAATACTAATGAATTTAATTTTTGGAACTGTGATAAATGTTTTATGTCCTTGAAATGAAAAAAAGGTATTATATTTTAAATAGCATAAAAATACTGTTGATTTAACTATTTTACATACCTTTATAAAACATAGATAATTCCCTGCTAAATTTAAATTATGTAACTCAGATTTTCTGCAGGATATTTTATTTATTCTTGTTATTTTATTATCAGCTAAATTAAGTTCTTGCAGCCAAGTTAACATATCTAAATTCTACATGAATTAAGTACATAATATTATTTGGTATAGACAAAAGTTGAAGATATTTTTTATTTAAGTTTATAGTTTATGGTTTTACCTCAAGTTTAGATACATTGTTTCTTGAAAGGTATAAAGTGATTAAATGAGAACAAACTTCTAAATTTGGTATGTACGATATTTCGTTTGAATACAAGTAAAGTTTCTTCAGTAAACAATTTTTTTTGAAAAATGGCACTTCCTTAAATGAACTAAATTGTAATTTGCGATATTTCATTAATTATATTCAGTTTACATTATTACCTTGATACCACATTCGACGATCCATAGTTCTTGTAATTGAAGTAATTCCGAAATTGCATTGAAAGAATTGATGTCTCGTTGACCAATTATTATTAATATTCGAATATTTTGTTTTGTGAATAATAATTTTTCGAATGATGTAATAGTCGAATAGAACAAACACAATTCGCGTTTATTGTGACTTTTTTTACCTATAAATAAATTTATTTATTCAAAATAGTTCCAATTTTTCATTGTGTTCTAATTACCTCTATTATCTATAAAATTGTCCATTATCATATTTATGATTAATCCATATTTTTAATGGCAATTGTTTCGAATTTCATCTTTTTGTCCAATATTTGTTTTAAAAACAGAATAGTTTTGATAATCACTAGAAATAATTACTAATCTACGCTTTGAGATAATTGCATAAATAATATTGTAAATGATCATTTTCCTACGTGTCAATGAAATTTTAAAATTTGCCGCTCTATTAATTACGCTTCAATGTACCAAATTACAGTTATATAACGTAAGTTACAAATCAGTTAAACTCATTATATTCATGCATTACAATTTATTATTTTTCTTCTGTTTATCATAATTTGAATG